AAGGTCAGGAAACATTCTGCCAAGCTTTCTTTTTTAATCCTTTTTTGGGGAGAGGGTAATATTTCATGATATACATAATATATATGTATTATGGAGGATCACAAGTTCAAGGCCAGCCTTGGCAACTTGGCAAGACCCTGTCTCAAAAAATAAAAAGGACTGGGGAGTAGCTCAGTGTTAACCCTGCTCTGGGTTCAGTCTCCACAAAATGTATGTGTTAGCAGGACTGATCTGCTGTGCAGTAAGACAGTATTGCACCACAAAGAACCTTGTTTTCCCTGAGTGTCCAGATTGGTATTTTTTAATCTATAAACATTACTAAAGAAAATAATCTATTTGTGGAAACAGAAATGTTCTTACTAAGACATGTTATATGAAGTACACTCATACTTTGGCCCAGTGGAGGTCACTTGTGATACATGATTAGATGTAATTTTTTTCTGAACTTCCAGAATGCCAGCCTTCCCTAATTTTTAAATAGGGAAGGGCATTTACATTAGTAAATTAGTAGAGAACTAATGTAAATGCCCATTTCTGGCATTTTGAGCATGAGGTGAAGGACATTCTTTTTGAATTAAGTTTGATTGGACAAATTTACTATGAGTTTATTTCCTTACCAAAAAAATTTCAGGGTAGGCATTACTGGGTCGAGTGTTGTGCAGCATTCAGGAGCTCAGGGTTGTAGCCCCAATACAGCAAAAAGAAAAAGGTGATAATGTAAACAAGTAAGGTTATAAATCAGTCTCCTGTACAGTGAGTTATATATTAAACTGTGTTCTTCGAGCACACAAAGATGGTAGATTCTAAATGTTACACAGGAAGTCAGCGACAAGGGTATTTATTCTGATCACCCATACCAGCTGCATAGTAAGAGTTGTGCAGTATAATTGGCTGTATTCTTGTCTTGTATTCTTAAAAGGAGTTGCAGGAGGGGAAGAGGCTATTCTGTCTGAAGTCATGGTCCGGAACATATTTTCAGGTCACCTGGGCAGGTGCAGGGTATGAGGGAAGGCCCACAGCCCTTATTTATATGCATGAAACTGGAAACTGTTGTGTTCCTAAAGTAAAACCACTACTGTCTTTTGTTTATGCGATTATTTCTCATGACTCCTTTGGAAGTACTTGATTTCGACTATTCTTTGAGAAGAAGACTTCTTTTGTGAAACTTGGAAACTTCCAAATTCGCTAGATTTTGACCTTAAGTGTACTGAGTTTTATAGGCAGGGCAAACTGGATAACAGGTGAAGATTTTGAAGGGGAAACATCCTCCTTTGTGTTGGCAAACCTTAAGGGTATGGGACTGTGAACACAGTAACGCAGAGGTGTCCTCACTGAGTGGATATTCTAGAAAGCTCTGTTTTGGCCTTTCCTTCAGGAATCTTGCCCTCATTCTGTGGTTGCTTTTTTCTTTCTGCAGGAGTGGGGATATTCAGCTTTGCTAGATATGGCAGCAATTTCTATAGCTCACATTATAAAGGCACAGTGAAAAAGCTCCATAAAAAATCTTCCAATGACTATGCCATTTTTGATAACTACTTTATTCCTGAAATCACTAGTGTTTTGCTGCTGCGATCCTGTAAGGTGAGTTTAAAAAATCCTGTAGCTGGGCTGGGGATGTGGCTCAAGCCTTAGCGTGCTCACCTGGCATGTGTGCGGCCCGGGTTCGATCCTCTGCACCACATACAAAGATGTTGTGTTCACTAAGAACTAAAAAATAAATATAAAAAAAAAAATCCTGTAGCTTTTTTTTTTTTTTTAAATAAGATCTTCATTTTCTAATCATATATCATCAGCCCTTAAAGTAACATTATAAGTGAGTTTGTATCTTTGTACACTTTTGGTGGATATTGCAATAAAAACAGTCTAACTGGATACAATTGAAAATTTATAATATCAGTGACATTTTTTGGTCCTGCTAGTACATGCAGCCTTTGGCTATATTCTTGTCCTATTTATTGAATTCCTGAATCCCATTATGAGTAGGTACCCTACTCCTTCAGGCTGATCATCAGGTAGAACTGCCTCTCTGAGGACTTTGGGGAACCACTGTTCTCTGCCCTTTTAAGGAGAAAAGGCGTTTGTTTTCGAGGCTCTAGGCAACCCTCGACTGTAGTTCTGAGATAGATCCTGATGTCTATCTCCCCATCCCTGGTCTTTGGAAAGCTGGTCTCCTCATTTCCCTCCCTCCATAGCCAGACGTATGGTCGTCCTCTTCAGTTAAAGAGTTCTGCTTTCCCCAGGATCGTACTTTGAAGTACACCTTTTAGAACTATGTTTTCTTCATGCCCCCAACCAGGGATTAAACCCAGGGGTACTTAGCCAGTGAGCCACATCCCCAGCCCTTTTTATTTTTTATTTTAAGACCAGGTCTCAATAAGTTGCTTAGGGCCTTGCTAAGTTGCTGGGGCTGGCTTTGAACTTGTGATCTTCCTACCTCTGACTCCTGAGTTGCTGGGATTA